CTGGGTCCCAGACGAAGTGCGTGCCAGAGCAGGAATGCAATCGCAGACGATCTCAACCTGGAGGCTCGCATCAAGCTGCATGGCGTAGAGAATTGCCCACAGTAAGCCAGCAGTCTCGGTGGTAACCGAATTGAAGTCCCGATCGGTCAGGTCGTACGAGATGCTGTCTGTCACGAACGCGCTGAAGAAACCAGCAAACTTGAACCTGTCCCCGTCAGACAACACCACAGTACACGCCCAAGCCGACTTTGTAGGGTCGTCCTTGTGGTATGATCCGTCAGAGAAAATAAACACATTTGTAGCAGGCCGCTCCAGATCCGTGGCGAAAGTCAGAGCGAGCTGCGTGTGCTGGTGCATCTGTAGACTGGCCACGTTTCTCTGTAAACGAATGCTCCACTTAAGCCTGTCGTACTCGACGCTGAGGGGAACAGGAACATCCATACTGCATACGCGATGGATCGTATCACTTATATCGTCACGGCCAGAATCAGTAGCCTGATGAATCTCTTGGTTAATTACAGGTGAAACAACGCTGGACCCGACCGTTTCGGCAGGTGAGGCGACTGGAAGGGCCGACATGATTGGCCTTCCTGGACACCAAGATCGAACACTTTGAGCATCAGATGACGCCTGGGTACCACCTGGAGTACCACACAGGGGATGTATAGCCTGCCGCTGAGAAACCGTCCAACGCCTCTCATATTCAGAAGCGGGTGAGTCTCGAAGGTCGGCAGGGGCACGATCTCGAACAGCACGAGAAGGTACAAGATGCATAGGGGGATAATCATGCGCTCCTGGGCCCACCCCCCCCCCTATCGGAGGTGGGCCTTCCCCTGATGTCAGGGGCCTGCTGTTGCTGAGGCCGCCGATCCGTCTGCCCGAGGCACCAACAACTCATCGTCATCATCATGATCAACTGCCACCTGCGCTGGAGTAGGGGAACTGTGATCTACAGCAGTAGGAAATCCACCTCTAGTTCCATGCCGTCGAGTTCGGTCGTTGTTGTCCAGGGGTCTGGCGGCTGGGTACAAGAAGGATCTGCCATACTTCAAGGCCGGCCTCTTGGACTGCAGGGAACGGTCAGTATCCTCGACCTCAGATGGAGGGGCATCAATCCTAGCTCCAACGACCTCCTCCAAGCCATCCGCCTCAAGGTCCAGCTCACGCCCCTTACTACGTACTTCGTCATCATGATCTTGAACCTCCTGGACCTCCTCCGTCTGAGACACTCCTCCAGCAGCTTGAGCCTCCGTAGTCGCTTGAACTTCCAAATGCTGGTGAGCTTCTCCATGAAGCGATGCTGCTGCAAGAGTGGCCTCCTGCTCCGCTTCATATTCAGCTTGTACCTTCTCACAGTGCTCCTCGTACGCTGTGAGTGCCAAACGATACGCCCTCGCATCTTCCTCTTGCTCAAAGCGGTAGTATTCCTCTACTTCCAAAGCCATCTCCTCCTCTTGCATCACCTCGAACTCATGAGCCTCATCTGCATCAAACGCCGCCGCTGCCATCATCAATTGCTCTGCGTCTACGTCCGAAGCGGAATCCATAGTTGTACGTGGCCAAGGTGCATCTCGAGTATTTCCAGCGGCACTGTCACCTTGAAAACCGACCTGGGACAACGGTAAGCCGCTCGACGACCCAGAACACAAGCCAACTTCATCTGGGACCAGCCCTAGAAAACCACCCACGTCTTCTCCAGCACGGCCAAGGGGCTCACTACGAGGAGGCGGTGTACTTTCGAGGGACTTTTGCAGCACAGGCTGCATAGCCTCGGCATTCGCTGCCTTGAAAGCCTCCATCTGATGCTGCTCTCGTAGCCATCTCTCAAACAACATCTGCTCACGCTCGTCCTCGATGACATCCAAACGAGCAGCTGTCTCTTCAGCACACAACATGTCGTCGACCAAACGAGTTCCTGTAGACGGTGGGGTCGGAACCGCTGGAGAACAGCTGGCTTGTGCACGGAGATGATCTTCGTATGCGTCGGCGTCCACCTGCTCCTGCTGTTCCTGCCTTTTCAATTCGTCGCTAAAGACTCGCTCCTCTCTACTTAAACTGCTGCCAACTGGTACGCTAGTAACACCATGATACGGACTGTACATAGCATCAGGAACACGCCGCACACGCTTCTGTGGCCCAAAGGCTGACTGAGTCGCCTGGGACTGTCGAATCGACATAATCTGCTCCTCGTAGTGCCTGTGGCGTTCTTCTGCTTCACGAACCGCTGCTACGGCTCGTCCTCGGTCGCGTTCAGCCAATTCTTTGTGCTCGGCAAGACGTGCCCATGCCACCCGATACTCCTCCTCGTTCTTGCTCTTCATCTCGAGTACTTGTGAGATCATCTCCTTCTGCGCGTCTTCGAGTTGCTTCCAATCTTGTTGTCGAACATTCTTCTGCTGCTCCACCGTATCTGCCAGTCGCTTCGCGTGAGTCTCTTCTCTGCCTATCAAATCAGCCTGTGCCCTCGCAAGGAGGCCTCTCTGCTCGGTGATAAATTCTTCCTGACGTTTGCGTTCCTGAGCTTCGCGACGGGCCTCTATCTCACCACGCTCAGCCTGCTGCCTCCAGTATCCAATGTGTTCTTCAAACATCCTGCGCTGCTGCTGCCATTCCAAATTTGTATGATGCATCTGCGCAGCAAACCTCTGAGACTGTACATATTGCTCTTGCACGACAGCTTGACGAAGTTGCTCGACGTTTTCATAGTGCTGGTGTTGCTGGTGCTGCGCTGTCTCAGGAAGGGATACCCCACCCCCTCCTTCCGTCACCGTCGCCTCCGTGTCCCCCGTCGGTCGGTACCCTCTGCCTCCCAAGCGCCCCATGGGCTGGGGAGGTGGACAATGCCTACCTCCCAAGCGCCCCGTGGGCTGGGGAGGTGAGCAGTGCGTGCCGACGGGTGTCATCCTCGCCGTCGCTTCCTGTGGGGCTGGCATGGAAAGTACTTCAACCGCTGCTGCATACTCTGAGGTGGAAACCATGTCTGGCGAGGCTGCGACAGACGCTGGTGTGGGCTGCTGCTCCAAACCTCCTGTCAACATCCCTGGAATTGACGAACATGCAATACTTCTTGGTGGTACCGCTGGAGGTAGCACTGCCTTCGCGGATACCAACCTGGGAGGTGCGGCCTCAGGTGGGGGCCTCTTAGGAGGATGTCCTGCCAACTGTGAGTGTATAATACTAGAAGCCAGTTCCTTCTGGATCTCGTCCGCCGACAGTTGGCCCCCGTACCGATCGCTCATCGTCCGACGCTCCACTCCAGTGCTGGCTGGCGGTGTTGGTGTCAATCTTGTTGGAGAACCAGCTGGAGAACTCGCAATCGTCTTCGGTGGCGAACATGCAGGGCTAGCAGAACATCGACGAGCGTCATCCTGAGCTGGGTTCTGTACTCCAAGCTGCTGCATCGTGCCTCGTCCTCTCGTGATATGCCCCTGAGGTGTTCTCAACGAAGCCTGGCAGCGCAAGTGTTTGCCGTCCACAATCGGAGTGGGACACCTTGTTGGCACTGATGCCGGATCTGGTGGTGGAGGTGGCGGTGGAGGAGGTGGAGGGACTGCCGCCTCCTCTTCAACTTCACGACCAGCACTCTTAGCCCTCTCCGCCAAGTCCCGTCGTCGATCGTACCCATAGTCTTCACCAGCAGTATTGTCTGAAACCTCCCTCCTGGCCTCAACTGCTTCTCGGAATAGGTCTCTGTGGTATTCGTACAACGTTCGATGATATAGCATATCGTCCGCCAAGATCTGCTGCTTCTTCTCTAATGCCGCGATCTTCTCTTCAGCTTGCACCATTCCTGCTTGAGCCTCAGCTCTTTGAACTGCAACGGGTTTCAACTGCCAATGCATCCACTTCATAACACTCAACTCGTGCTCCTGTGCGGCCATGTACGTGCCCGCTTTCTTACCTTGCACAAGTAGCTCCGCCAGCTTGAGCATCCTGTCCTCCACCTGCTGCTTGTACTGCTTCATCTCGCGAGGCTCAGGGGGCGGCTTGTAAGCCGCATGACGTAGTGCATATTCCTGCGTACACATCATATGTGAGTCCAGCGTACTTTTGACCTCCGCACGGAAACTCGACTTCTCACGCTCTCGACGTTTGTCGTCAGCTTGGCGTTGTTGCTGCTTCCTCCACGTCATATTGCAGTTCTTCCAACCACCTCGGGCTCCGTCTCGAATCTTGCCCTTGCATACCCATGTGCCCTGGTCGTTGATCGCTTGGCATTCAATGCATGTCCACGTACCAGCCGTTCGTCCTGCCGCCATACTTGAATGGTGCAGCTCAATCAATCTTCTTGCACGCTCCAATCGCAGAACCACACGAGCCTCCGCTCGTCGTCTCCTAGCTCTCCTATGCCAGGCAGGGCTTCTTTTCCTCTTCGACGCCGCCGTCGACCCAGTCGGCCCCGAAACAGTCGTGCTCCTTCCTCCCGACCGTCCGCAGCTATGGCTGCGGGCCGCGGGCGCGCGTGCGCCGCGCTTGGGCGCGGCCGCGGGTCCTGGGCTGCCCTGCCCGCCCTCGGGCCGTGACGCCTCCTCCTCCTCCTCCTCCTCCTCCTCGTCGTCGTCCTCCTCCTCCTCCTCCTCCTCCTCCTCCTCCTCCTCCCCCTTCTCCTCTTCCTGCTCGACCTGCTCTTTCTCGACTTTCTCACCCCCGTCCTCCTATCCATCATCCTCGTCCTCCGCATCGTGGCGCTCGTCATTGTCCTCGCCGTCGCGCATCCTCCTCTTCCCACCCATTCTTAGCCCCGACGTCCTCATCGCCACCTTCGTCCTCGTATCATCTTCCTCGGCACTATCGCCCCCGTCCTCCCAGCCATCCCTCTCGTCCTCCGCATCCTCGCCTCCGTCATTGTCCGCCTCGCCCTCGCACGTCCTCCTCCTCCTCCTCCTTTTTCTCCTCCTCTTCCTCTCACCCTGCCCTGCCCCTTCCGTCCACGTCGCCCTTTACGTTTCTGTGCTCCAAGTCCGCCTCCTCGCCGCCGTCCTCTCCGTCCTCCCCCCCAGGGCTGGGGATCCGCCGCCGGCCTCATGCTGGACGCCTCCTGGGCGTGGTCTCTGTACATCTTTGGGGCCGCGGTGCTCGCCCGCTTCGCGCTGCTCCGAGGCCTCACAGGCGCGAGGAGGAGGAGGAGGAGGAGAAGCAGGAGGAGGAGGAGGAGGAGGAGGGGAAGGATCAGGGAGGAGGAGGAGGAGGAGGAGGAGGAGGAGGAGGAGGGGAGGCGGGGAGGAGGAGGGGAAGGATCATGGAGAAGGAGGAGGAGGAGGAGGGAGGAGGCGGGGAGGAGGAGGAAAAGGATCGTGGAGGAGGAGGAAGAGGAGGAGGAGGAGGAGGAGGAGGAGGAGGAGGAGGAGGAGGCGGGGAGAATGAGGGGGAGGAGAAGGAGGAGGAGGAGGAGGAGGAGGAGGAGGAGGAGGAGGAGGAGGAGGGGGACTCCCTCTCCAGACCCTTTCGGGGCATGAACAACATATATTACGTTTTGTTTCGCAATGTTCTCCTTCTTGGGACCCTCTCCGGGGAATGGGTCGAGACCTTTAGGGGGGCACACGTCATGAAAAGCATGGCGTCGGGGGTATGGTTCCCCTTCCTGGTTCCATGGTCAGGATTTTCGCTCTGTATTCTAAGCTCGTGCAGCGTTGGCGCGCCGGCGACGCCGACGAATGCGTTCCAGGTTGGATTCTGCGCCCTTGTGGCACCCAGGGCCGGCGGGAACGCCGCATGGTAGAACGACGCAGGAACACCGCGGGTCACCGAAACGCCACGGGACCCGACAGACGTGAACGATCGGGGCCGCGATCGACGCAGTGTCAAGAACTTGAGCTCGCGCTGACGCCGCACGAGCCTACCGTACCAACTGTGTTATTGATTATTTTCAACCGCGCGCAGAGGGGGTCAGGGAGAGGGGGAAGTCTTCTCAGAAGCGCCCTGATTCTTAGAAGACGTGGGCCTTGTCTGTAGATGTAGGGCCGGCGCCTTCTAAGGAGCAGCCTCCTTCCAAGCAGTGCCTTCTCCTCCTCCTCCTCTTCCTCCTCCTCCTCTTCCTCCTTCTGCTCCTCCTCTTCCTCCTCCTCCTCCTCCTCCTCCTCTTCTTGATCTTCCTCCTCCTCCTGTCGCCGTGGAGGGCAGGACCTCCTCTTCTTCCTCGTCCTGTTTCTCTTGCCGTGGAGGCCAGGAACCTTCTCTTCCTCCTCCTCCTCCTCCTCTTCCTCCTCCTCCTCCACCTGTCGCCGTTGAGGGTAGGAGCCTCCTCCTCCTCCTCCTCCTCCTCCTCCTCATCCTCCCCCCCTTTCTCCGCCTCCTCCTCTTCCTCCTCCTCCTCCTCCTCCTGGCGCCGTGGAGGGCAGGAACCTCCTCCTCCTCCGCCCCCTCCACCTCCTCTTCCTCCTTCTCCTCCTCCTCCTCCTCCTCCTCCTCCTCCTCCTCCTCCTCCTCATCATCCCCCACCTGCCCTCACTCTCCCTCCTCTTCCTCGCAGTGGAGGGCAGGAACAACCTCAGGCCAAGTCCCTTCGGGTCATGGAACAATAACGACGGGAAGTGTATCTCTATTTTTGGCCTCCAGGCGCCCTGACCGGGCCTCCGGGCCGTCTAACAACGACTCGGGGTGAAAAGCCGGTCCCAGGGAGTTGGTCGAGACTTCCGGGGGTCGGCGTGAAGAAGTCATGACTTCGGGGGTCTGGGGGGTGGGGGATGCGAAAGGAGGGGCAGCAGCAGGAGGAGCAGGAGGAGCGGCAGCAGGAGCAGAAGGAGCAGGAGCAGCAGCAGGAGGAGCAGAGGGCCAGGGGAAGGCGGTGGAGGGGGAAAGAGGGGGACGTCCACGACGACGACGGAGTCGGATATGCAGAGATGTGTGGCCCGCGCTGGGGCGAGGGAGCGCCGGTCCGAACGACGGGAGCAAGGCGCCGATTCTGAAACATGGCCAACGCTGCAGCGCGACCGCCGTCTTTGAAGAATCGTGAGGGTCCCGATTGCAAAACACCAGGGCGCAGGAGACGGGGGTCGACGCAAACGGGGGTCAGCCAGAGAGGATTAGATAGATCCCCGAAAGTCCACGCACAGGAATGACAACCCGCGGAAGAGGCGGCGGCAAGAGGAAACAGTGCCGCGGAAAAGAGGGTAGTTCTCATATGAGGCAGCGCAGGCAAAGAGGGGCCGGTTGCGCGGACATTCGCGCGTAGGTTGTTTGCGTGAGGCTTGACATGAGCGCCCTCTTCTCCAAACGGTGTGCCACACTGGCGGCTCGCATAAGCCGCGGCGTCAAGTCGTTATGCCTTCTCGCCTAACTTCGGTATTTCTTCAACGTCCCTCCAATAGGGGGTAGCTAATTTTTCTGGCGGCCTTATTGGAGGAATGTTGTCTCATTATTACGGGGTAGCCAATTCATTTTCCCCGCTGCACCGCCCGCGCATCAACGACGACGACTACGATTGCGGCTACGACTACGACGGTTACTACTACTACTTATGCCTCAGGAGCTTGCTCGCGTAACAGACCACCTCAGAAATTC